AATGTGTTACTAAGATGATGGCATATATTCCCATGTCAGTTTATAATAAGCTCATGAAAATCTAAATTGGAAACTGGAATCCAGAATCTGATCAGTGATCTTAAGGTTTTGAAAGCAGGCAGTTTATCGGGTCTTCCTTCCAAGTATTTGAAGATTGCGCACCACATATTTGTTAAGGACTCAAGCGGTAATTCAGAAACTTGCGCCATAAAGTTGCAGTTGGAATTTTCGAATTTTGAGCTGCGTATAGCCCTCTTGTCTTCAAGGGGAGCTTTATCCTTTTATACCCGTCCACATTCCTGCTTTCTATTGCTATCAATGAGTGATGCTAGATTGCCTGCAATATGTACTAAATATTTGTGCAATAATCCTTTTTGATGTGAAGGGATTGTTACACTCATGAGGATTAAGAGATTATTGTGAATTGAAATCTTGATCGGGGGATCTATGCCTGATGCCTTGAATGTATATGCATAGTTCAAGTAGTTTTGCAGTATTGCTCTGCAGCTTTTGGTTAGGGGACCTTAGCCCCTCTTGCTCACTCAACTCTTTCTGTAATTAGTTTGATTAAATGTTCGTTCTCTCTTGAAGATCAATAACAGATCCAACAGCTTAACTTGAAAATAACTAGCACAACTACATTGAAAAGCCTGCAATGTGTCATTCCTCACTCATTCCTCTTTACCCCATATCACAAAATTTCTGTTAAAAAACGGGCTGGATGCATGACACATAATTTTTATCCAACTTTGAAATTATTATTATTTTTTGCGTATTTGACAAAAAAATTTCTTTACCCTAATGGTGGTGATAACTTTAATCCAATTTTTGTACCACGATTCATCGATGATAAGTTGTCCTGCATGATTAATAACAGTACATAGGGCCTAGCTACTATTATAGTCCATAGCAATGAGGATAACAATCATGCAAGCTTTCTTGGATCCATGGTGACAGAAACATTCTTGGCATCAGGCTGCATATGCACCATCATTATATTGTACCTAAGAAAAACCAAGGCTGAAGGTTGATTGACTGTAATGAAAACTGAGAACACACAGCACCAGCACAATGAAAGTGCAATTATTTTGTCTTCAAGGTACCCGATCACGTACGTTAGATGGGGCAACTTGGTTCCTGTGCCTAACATTTTATTGCATTTATATCACCAGTTTAAGCTTGCAACTCCCACCAAATATGAAAGGCTCGAACAAATTTGCACATTGCCAACGCCCTTTATTAGCTTCCTAAAACATTTACAAAATTCTAATTGAATGCACATGGTATGGTAGACAGGGCACGGTTAACCAACAGCCTGCTGGGCTGTTGGCCAGGGAGCTATGCTCTCGCCTGTCAGGTTTGGAGTTCTATTTCTGGCTTGGCACTTTTCGAGTAGGGGTTTTAGGGAGGAAACTGGTGGGAAGTAGGGAGGGGGATTTAAAAAAAAAAAAGGGATAAAGGCATATTTGATCATTCGCTTTTTGAGTTAGATTTTGATAAGTTCAAATTTTGGCTCATGCCAAATAAACTATTTGGATTTTTCAAATTTCGGGCTTAACTCAAGGTTTAAAATTAATACATAATCACATGTGATGTATGTACACTATTAAGCAGTAATCTGTTATTGAATTTCTCCTTGAATTCCATCTACTGCTCCTTCTGTAACCGCTTTTTTGCCCATACTGTACACCATAGTACTACACACACACACACACACACATATATATATATCGTATAATTATTCGAGTCAAATTTCAAGGAGTCTAAGTCTAATAAAGTTCAGGTTTGGCTCACAATTAAATCGAGCATCGCATTTATGCCCGATCTCTGCCCGGCTCAGAAATATACGAGACTTGAACGGTTGCCAGTAGCAATTGTTCGGAACGATATAACATGTTTTGAACAAGTTGTAATTCTACGTGAATTATTTGTAAAATTTAACAACATAGACGAATTATGGGAACCATATAAATAGTAACACAATATCATACCTCTATTATAAGGATGCATAAGAAGTTTACGTAGAATTACAAAACGTTCAAAAAAAGTTACATTGTTCACGAAAGTTGAACTGGCAACTGCCCCTGCCCTGCGTTCAATTTTCTGTGCCCCGTTAGTTGAGTTTGGACCAACACAGCTTCATGGACTATCCTAGACACAGTCGATTGTTACTCTGGGGAACTATTGAATGGGAATGTCAACCAAAATTGGATTTTTCTCTGACCAGATCGCTGAGTCATATTTTTTCCTATGAATAGTCGAACCCGGTGAATAGTTTGCAAAAATCATATCCACTGCTGAAGTTTGTACTGCTACGGATGAGATGATTATGTAAACACCAACATAGCTCAATAAAGAGACGAATATAAAACAAAAGATGTAAAATGACTTCAATTTGAGTTGTCCAATATACACAGGAATTGTCTAGTGGTCAAGGGCCACATGTTCTTGTTGAATACATTAAAGGAGATGGAGGTCTCATGTCCCTGTAGATGGGACAATGGTGCTGGCATCTATGTGGAAATTCTGGATGATGGATGATTATAAGTAATCACGTCAGGAAGTAAAAAGAAGAAACAAAGAAAGAGATGGAGGGCATGATCATCATCTAGCTTTGGTTGAAAGAGACCCGCCTTTGCTTCTGTTCAAATAACTTGTGCATTGTGAATTGTTTCTTCTAAGCAATAATAACTCTAAATATGGGACACTTGCCATCATGCAGTACTATCTCTTTCGTCACTGCTTGAGTGTCGAGGATAGGTTCAGGATTATTAATGATCAATAGTGTGAATAATTATTGCCTGCACTTTTGTCTTCTTATTCTGTCTTCATATTCAGGCAATTGGTGAAAATGTATTGTGGAATAGGGAACTTTGCATTCCTTTTCTGTTTCTTTGTTATCAAAGAAAGACGGTGGCTTAGGAATCAAGTTTAATGCCACTTTGTAAAATTTTTCCTGTGGTCTTCAAATTTTACCGCAGCAAATCTAGCATTTTGCCTTTCACAATGCACCTCATGTGATGAAATTGATGTTTTCTATCATATTTACCTCTTCTTTTCTTTTTTTTTTTTTTGACCTTTTCAATTATTTTTTTTAGTTTTCTTTTTCGTTTTCGCTTTCTTCCTTTTGAAAGGGGCATGCATTCTCTGCATGGCTTCAATGTACTGCTTTATCTACTCTACTCTCCACTTGGAGGACTTGCCTTTACTTGGGAAATTCTTAATTGGAATTGGCCTTCATGTCATTTCTTGGAGGGCTGCAACCCTTTGAAGTTTAGGAGGATTTTTTTTTTTTTTTAAGGAGGATGTTGTTAAGTGATCATTCTGTAATACTATACCATCCTTTGAGGAAAAAAAAATAAGGAAATGAAGAAAAAGTTAACTTTCTTGATATCCATAATCCTCATTTCTAAATATGGATTTGGCAAATTGTAAATAAACGGTTTGACACTATGTCATGTTTCGAGTGGGGCAGCATTTGCCTATTAGTTTCATTTAAGTATGCAATTTCTGTATATTGCTTGAAATTTTGCTGAGAATTTCATTCAAATAGTTTTCTCCTTTCAAGTAACAACAACAGTCGGATTGATCATGATCTGCGAACGTTGCAAGAGACAGTAAGAGCAAAGAGTTACATACATATATATATTCATGAGACTTGATAGCATTGTATCGATAAACCAGAAAATTGGTTGAATGCTTTACTTCTTCTGACAGAATAAACTGAGTAAGATCTACAGAGCAAGTAGTGGTAAACGTTAGTTAGTTAAGCCCGTGAACACGGGCAATCAACTGGCAAATTTTTTTCCTACAGTGGCATCTAACTTAGATTAGGAAACCGGCACTGCAATGAGGAACAAAGACGGAAAAATAACTGAGCAAAAAAGAAGGCAAGAAGGTGAAAAAACCAGGAGCAAAAATTCATCCTTCTTTATCCATTATTGGATAAAAAACTCTAGGTTTTACACAACCCTTCTGATGAACTCAATCGTCTGTACTTCATGAACAAGCATAAGCGCGCACGACATCGATTATTGGAGCTTGACAAATTGGACATTTTCCACTGCCCCATTGCAGGTCACTGGCGCACTTGAAGCACGTACACATGTGCCCACATCTGAAGAGCCATTTGGATTGAGAAAACAATGGAATGACAATACAGGAAGAGGTGCTCAACTCTATCGAATATCAACCCTATGTTTGGATCAACCACCAGAATATGTTCCATCAGTTTCTGTAAGTGAGACAAGGTTCTCAGGCTGATCTTTTGTTGTTGGCAAGGTTCAAAAGTTGATCATTAGAAGGGTCCAGTTGTTATGTAACTTGAGTTGGAACTTCATTGGATTTTACCTTTCAATATAATCTGTTCCCTTCCCCCATCCATATATATAAAAAGAGGCTAAGCTCCAACTAACTGTAAGTCTCATCTATCCATATGTGTATTTGCTTTTCCTAATCATGTGATGATGATATTGCTAAACAATACAGCTGAGCTCTCCATGTCCACATGCAAAGGTACAAATACACTGGTGCAATAAGCATAATGGTAGTGTCATATAGGGGGAACAGAAACTGAACGACGACGACGACGACAACAACAACAACAAAACAAGCCGTGATTCAAGGATATGGATAGCTGTAGGGATATTCATTTTATGGAAGCGCTAAAGGATGATTGAATATATTACAATTACTGGATGCAGTTTTGACTTTAGCATACACTAGAGAAGTTGCAGTACAGTGTGAATCATGAAAGTTTCTTCTTGTTAAACCAATTGCCAGAATAAGTAATCCAATGTCCGATCACAGTAACAAAACAAAAAGAAAATTAGCATAGCACCAAAGAGTGATCTGATATTCATTTGGATTCCTTAATAAACTAGACAGGGTTTAATATTTCAGATTTCTCTTAATCAAAGGAAAACCATGGATCCATTTAATCATTCTTATTACAAATTTTCATGTGAATACCATGCGTAGCTTCCCATAAATAGAAATGATCAAGAGCCTTCTGACCTTATATTCACAATGGCTGATGGAGCAAGTCTTTTTGAGTCAAATGATGCAGAATTAGATTGGCGACCATCTTTTCCTTCAGCTCCACGACGCAAGAATCTAACGCGTATCATAGCCTGGGAACAAACCACATGATAGTTGATAATCCTACTTGACATCTTACCTTTTTTTAACAATTCTCATAGAAGATTTCAAAATTTTGGAAAATAGAGTTGACCTGAATGCGGCCTCTATGTGAGAATCTGGAAACTGCTTTTTTATCTACAAGCCTTTCAAGCTCCCTGTGCCTATCACGCTCCAAGTGCATTAACAAATCAGTGAATGCTTGACGACCTCTAATCCGAGGAGAACTGGAAACTGGAGAGAAAACTCTCTGTTCTGCCTTTTCCAGTGATGTTCGAACACGGGGCAATGAATGTTGGCTAATTGTATCGTTGTGATCTTCACCATTAGACGACAGTTTTTTGATGATATCAGCTACCCTGATTCTCTCACTCTCAGTAGCATCAGAATCTCTACCTCGAGAGGAAGGTGGACCACTCAAGCCTGTTTGATCAGATTCCCAGTCTAGAAACAAGTCCTCACTCTTAGATGGGGTTGCAGGCCTTAAATCGGCGAATTCCTCACCAGCATCAGGCCCTCGAAGAGGGGCATCAGCATATGAAGAATTATCATTGAAAAACATTACGGAATTGCTCCTAGAGCTACAAACAGGTGAATTGGTTGCGCTGAAGCACCGAGCCTCAGCCTCAAAGTCTCTCCACATCCTCACAAGGGAAGACACTCCGCCTAAACTTTGCGCCTCCACAGAACTTTCAGATTTTACAGGGGAATTCTCCCTTTGGGATCTCAAATCAGGCTCTGATGTGATTTCCTCTTGGCTCTTTCCCCTCTGAAATAATGCAACAGGCTCTTGGGGTACAACTTCACGGCTCGTCCCCCTCTGAGAAGCCGAAACAGGCCGCCCTGATGATGGGCTGTCAGGACTTCTTCCCCTCTGAGAATTCAAAACAGGCCCTCCTGATGATGTGTTTTCTTGGCTTTTTCTCTCAAAAGCAAATACCATATCTCTTGCCTTATCCCATTTTTCCCCAGCTCTACTTTTCTTGGGATCATTCTCATTGTTGTTTCTCTGTGGATTGTGAACCCACAAATCTGTAAAATCAATATGATGACGAGGAGAATTCTCATTGGAATCTGTATGACCAGACATTCTCCTATCATCAAAATTACAAGAATGATGATTATTCTCATTGGTATGACTCCGCGGATTATGAACCCATAAATCTGTATAATCAATCTGGTGACTCAATTTGCCATTGGAAACAGAACCAGAATTTCTTGAATGACCTGGACCGCAAGAATTCAGGTGAGTCTGAACCAAGTCCTTGAAATTCTTCTGAAACGCATTGGACTCCCTTGTCCTGTATCGATGATCGTGCCGATTACGATCCTTCAAAACATAACCAAACGGAGAAGATGACGCAATCTCAACCTGAGAAGAAGCCATTTTTGACGAACTCTGATGATCCTGCACTGGAAAAATTACTCAAAAAACCTGAGCTCTCCAATAATTCTTATTCATCGTTTCTTGGTGCAAAGCACGAGGGAAAGAAAGCACCACATCTTATTCAAATGGGTGGAGAGATCAAAGAAGAATGAAGAATAATATTCATAATAAGAACAAGAATCCATTATTATCAAGAAAATGCAGCAAAAAGGCCGTCTAAAATTGTCTGTCAATGACAAACATCTCTCCTTTTTTCTCTCTCAATCTGTCTGTACCGGCAATCTTGGTCTTTTCTATATTGCACCTTGTTTCTGATCCTAATCTTTATTGACTAAATTTAGAAAATGGACCAATAATCAGCAGAAAGGACAATGACTTTAAGGGAGATAAATGAGGGAGGAGGTGAAAACGGGGCTAATTTGTTGGAAGTCTTTAATGCCTGAACCGTTCAATTAACTCTTGATTACTCAGATTCTACAGGAACTTTTGAATCCAGAAAAATAGGAAGAAAGAATTTTTGCCAACTGGGATTATCAAAATATGTTTGTGGCTCAAAATTCATCAGACACGGCGGACAGCAATAAAATGGGATGGAATCAATCAAGGAGGATAAAAACACAGATGGAAGCTTCAGATGAAGGGAGAGAATGTTGGAGAAATATCGTAGAGATGACGACAACAGAGGAAGAAGAGGGGGAATTGGGGTGTGTTGTCCTGATTGATGGATGATTTACAAACGGTTGAGTAGTTTTTTTGATAGTTTGGTGCAAGAAAAAGGAGGGAGAGACAAGGAGAGCTTACACTATGAAAGAGTCTAAGAGACGTTGGATTTTAGCCGTTGAGAAATTTGTTTGTAGGGCCGAATAATGAAATATTGGGGTGAATTATTGTTGCCAGCAATGTAAGGCTAAGGTTAGCACTTAGCGGTCAAGCCAACCAAAATTTCCATTCTTGCACATCTTTCTTTCACATTTTCTACACTTTCTTGACTTTCTTTTTTGTGTAAAGAAAAAAAAAAAAGAACTTTTTTTTTTTCTTTATAGATTGTTATCTTTTACTTAACAAAATTCTAAAGGCCTTTTATACTTCCAAAAGCATTTTTTGATTCTGTTTGCATCTAGGAAGCAAGTCAATTGAAAAGGGTTAGTTTGGTATATGGAATTTTCGCACCAAATGCGTTCTCATGTTGGAGGAGAAGAGTTTTCATACAATTTATTTAGTTGGTAATACAATTCATCTTGATGGCCTACTAAGTCTGCATTGAGTCATCAATTTCGGCTTGAGGGAAGAGGTGAAATTGTACGATTGATTCTTTTTGTGTTTTTAGCAAGAATAAAAGACAAAAACATTATTTAGGAAAACAAAAAAAAAGAAACAGAGGAGTTTTTGGTTCTTGAGATGAGACTCCTCTTCTGACTTTGTCTGTCCTCTTTCTTTTTACGTAGTCAAACTTTCTTCCATCCTACTAATATTGCCCTTGACTTAGGATTGTCTACAGGGTTGCTGACTTTGATTGAATATGCATGATCATCTTGTCTAAAATATGTATATATATGTATATATATATATGCATGATCTATATATATACATGATCATGGAACTAATTCTATGCATGGTGCAAAGCTCACCTTTGTGCCAAAGGAAACGATCTTTTTTCGTTTTTTCAATTTCTTTTAGTGAAAGTTGGAAATTTCGAACTTAGACCTTTCACTCGTATTCTTTATTTCTATACCATCCGATTGGTCTCTCCTCCTCGATGAATTGTCCCTCTTTCTTTACCTTTTGTTGAAAAATAGCTTCCTCTTTTTTTCTTTTTTTTTTTTGTCTGAAATATCAACAATGAGAATTGATTTATAATAATGTCTTCTTTAGCAATTGTATTTGATGTAGAAAAACTACAACATGCTCTAACTCTCTAAGTTTTTAGTTTCATTTCTTTGGTCCTAAATAAATATATAAATATATATATTTATAGACACACACACACATAAAACCATTCAAACAAATCTTGTGTCAATCTACAATATATATTCTTTTTAAAAAAAATTATATTTAGAGTTAAATATTTTATATGTGGGTAAAAATAAAGGATTAATTTCTTAATCCAACTCTACTTTTTGGTACGAAACTTTGGATGTTTTAATACACACGAAGATGCAATGTTTTAAACTTTGGATGTTTTGGTACGAAACTTTGGTCGTGACGGAAAACGACAGCAAATTTTGCAACACAAAGCGACAAGAACAGGAAATATCGTGGCTTAAAACTTTACATCCGTAGGTGGACTGGGAGCTGGGCCAATCCCATTGGACAACTTAAAAAGAAAAGCTGACGTCCCGGGCCAGCCCACCCACTCTGATCAGCCTGAATATACTAAAAGCAAACAGTTGTTGGGCCAATGTTCGAAGAACGTGTAGTTTTGACTTCCATACACAGTCCGTAATACACGAAGATGCAATGTTTTGGTACATTTTTTAATTATTTTTTATCTTATATATATTAAATCGCTATTATATATATATTTTTACAAAAACTCTTAAAAATAGCAATCAAAATAGGGATTTTACATATACACAGTCCGTGTACGTAAGATTACCTCTTCTATTCTGTTGAGTGCAACTTTGAGGAAAGTTTTTGAACTCAAATGCAAACAAGCTTGACTATTGAAACTATTGGGGTCTGATCGTATTTTACCATGTTTTTCTGGGGAGGTAATTAAATTCAGAAAAGAAAATTAAAAAAAAAAAGGTAAAATCTACTAGCAGCGGTAATCTTTACTCTTGAAGACTTGAACGGTTGAACCAATTAAAACAGTGAACAGTCGTCGCCACTGTCATCGAACCCACCTGTGAGAGAAGAAAAGGATGCCGGCGACTGCAACGATAGTTGGAGCCCTGCTGGGATTGGGGACCCAGATGTACTCCAATGCCCTCCGCAAACTCCCTTACATGCGCCGTCAGTGTTCTTTCTTTGCTATATTCGTTTCTATTTCTATAACCTCAGCGAAATGAAATCAGAACCGAAATGGGGTGGTTCAAGATTGAATTTTTTTTTTGTCTTTTCAATTGTGGGGTTTTTGATTAATGGGCTAATTCAATGATTTCGGCAGATCCGTGGGAACATTTGCTGGGGATGGGATTGGGAGCTGTGCTTGCTAATCAGATGGTGAAGTGGGACGCCAAAGCCCAAGAAGACCTCGATAAGCTCCTTGCTAAGGCTAAGGAAGCTAACGAGCGCCGTTACTTTGGTACTTGTTTTATTTTTCTCCCTTTTCCTTTTTCCTACTTCGATTTTTGTTTCATTTTTTTCCATTATCTTTTTGTTGGGTTTTGTAAAGTTTAAATCTTTGTATCTGTTTTTGGTGTTTTCGCCATCCATTTTGCATATTAGGCGAAGTTTTCATTTCATCCAGCCATTTTCTGCTGCTCCTTTTTTTTTTAATTATTTAAATAAATAAATACAGTAATAAATTTTATTTTATTTTTAAATAGATGTTTTCGGAGACGAGAAATTAGCAGTTTGGTGTTTTAGTTTGTTTTAAACCCCACGTAATGTGCGTGGCCTTCTGCTTATTGATCGATTTTTTGCCATGCATCAAACAAAATATTGGAGTTGCTTAGGTAGCTGTTTCCATTTTGATGGCAACATAATAACAAAAGGCAATAGACTAATTGGGAAGTGGCATATTCCACATATTGTTAGTATGACTACTTTCTTCACTACTTACTGATTGATGCATGAAAGAAAACATTCTTTTGGCGTTTTAAGAAGCGTAGGTTGGTCATGTGTACTTCTCCATATTCTTCTACATGGAGTTGATCTAGGGAAATGCTTGGTGGTGAATTTGTCAGGCTATTTGTTTGGAATCATTGATTTGTAGTTTTTGGATGGTATATCTTGGCAGTTTGGGAGTTTAGGATAGAAAAGAGAAGAAGGGAAAACTTAAGTTATGAGAGAAGAGAAGGGATTGTTGTGTTGTTTGGGAGTTTTGAGAATTAGTGGAATGATTTTGGATATAAAAGTCATTAAATATTTGTTCAAGACATTTTCAAGGATAAAATAGGTATTTTAAAAAACTTTCATAAGCTTCCTCCAACCTTCTCTCCATTTCTCTCCAATTTGGGAGGAAAACTTTTACTTACTATTTATCCTCTTAAATCCTTAAATCCTTCCATTTCTCTTCTTTTCTTTCCTAATAAAACTAACAAACGAAGGAAATGTTCACTTTCTCTTCTTTCCCCTTCTTTTCTCTCAAAATCATCCACTCTCTTAACGAACTGGCGTGATGTAGTGGTGCATTGGGATTGTCTGTTTCTGACACTGTTTTGATCAATTTGGGATAATGTTGGTTTGTGCACTTGGTTGTTGAGTTAAATCCTTGTTTCTTTCAAGTCGACTTCTATTTACCTGTTTGTCTTGAGTATGTTGGATAGGATCCTCTTCCTGAAAATTCTAACATTCTACTGTTTCTTATCTAGTCTACATAAAGGCCTTAGGACAGGAAGTACATTTTGGCTGCCTTTATGAGGTAGGGAAGCCTTATTAGCATTTTTTTCTCGATGAGATTTAAGTTTGCCTTGCCTCAGAAGACAAAATCCCAGATCAAGTTTGGAAAGTGGAAAAGTTGGTTCTGTGTTAGTTTAGTGTGGGAAATTCAAACCTTATGCATCTCTAGTACATAGAATGAATCAGAATATTGTCAAATGAAGCTTGATCTTTCTTTCCTCTGACTTAGATAATATGTTTGGGCTTGCCAATAATTATAATACTCACTTTTGCTTAGCTAAGCTTTGCTGTTGCTTATAATGGTATTTGTTTTCTTAATTCTATGGGTCATAACCTTCTTCATCATGCTCCCTAGTTTACTACTTCAATTTGGCTGGGACTGGCATTTGTATGCATTATTCTCTAAGTGAGGAGATCCACATGTCATGTCCTGAATATTGCCACTAAACCTTTCTAATCATCAATATCTGAAGAATATTTGCCTTACTGTCGTCAAAGGACGCACAATTCTTTGACCTTTTCTGCTGGTCGACTTTCCTTCAAAAAAAAAAAAAAAAGTAAATCGAGAAAACATATAAAAGTAGAATTCTATTAGTAAAGACTGTTAAAAGTGAATTATTATGGCTCCCTGAGTTTTCTTGTCTTCCACTATATTTAACATTCCTTGAACTTTTCTTTTGGCTGCACTACAGTTTGTTGCCCTGATAACTAAAAAGAAGATGACTGAATACACATAATTATTAAATTGTCTAATAAAAGAGGAAAGTGAAGAGCTAGCTGTAAGTAACCAGGCGACCAGAACACAGAAAGTAAAACTAAAAATTATGCTCCCTGCATCCATGTTGCACTTGGAGATGAATACTTTGAAATATGAGCTAACAGCAATTAGTTCTCACTGAGCATATCATTGTGATTATGGAGCATATTGTAATACCACCCCTCTGATATATGATGCTGGGCTCCATATTTCAAGGCTTGTGAACTCTGGCAATCACCACTTCATTCACTTCACAGAAGCTTACATTAATGTGTCAAAATTGAGAGGTTAATTAGGATGATTCTAACTTTGAGGGGAGAGGATTTTCTTGTATGAATTTGTCACTGATGCATATATTTAATGTCGTTATTGGTTTTACTTGAATTTTAAGCCAAGTATTCAGCTGTGCGTTATGCAGAAAGTATTCATTAATTTATTCATGAAAATTTTATTAATTTTTTGTCACATTATTCAAGAAACTTTCATGCTTCTATCTTTTGAACTCTGTGTTTCTACAATAAAT